GGTGGCGGCTGAAGACACATCAATAACCAAGCAAAGTCCGCACCATGATGGAGCTTGCCCTCCAGTGGCGGAGGCCGACAGCACACAAACAAACAAGTAGCACAGGGCACGTCCTGTGGTGATAAGCACTATGGGAGATACGGTGTCCCAGGGCAAGCAAGGAGGTGGTGACTTTCTGTGCAGTGGCCAGGGGAACACTCTCTAGTAAGGCATTTTCAGTGGAGACCTGAATGAAGAGCGAATCACGGGGACTCCTGGGAAACCTATTCTTAACAAAGGGAACCGACAGCAAGTGTGAAGGCCTCAGGTGGGAACACATGTGGTTCGTACAAGAAGCACCAGGGAGGCCAGTGTGCCAGAAGGAGAGCGAGCAAGAGGGGAGGAGGGCTGAAGGGCACTGCCGGCCTTGGATTTTTGCCCTCGTTCACCAGGAAGCCTTTGGAGGGTCTGAAGCAGAGAAGTAATGTGCCCTGATGTGATGCTCTGGAAGGCTGATTCTGGCCCTGGCTGGTGTGGCTCAGTGGACTGAGCATTGGCCTGTGACCCAAAGGGCCCTGGTTCGATTCCTTACCAGGGCACATGCCTGGGTCGTGGGCCAGGTCCCCGGCTGGTGGCGTGCAGGAGGCAACCCATAGATGTTGCTCTTACACACTGATGTTTCTCTCCTTCTTTCTCCCTCCCTTCCCCTCTCTAAAAATAAATTTTAACAGAAGAGAAAGAAAAAAAAAAAGAAAGAAAGGCTGATTCTGGCTGCTGTGCTGAGAACAAACGATTGTGGGGCAAAGACGGAAAGAGTGAGACTAAATGGAAGGCTAGTTCAGTTACCCAAGAAAGGTTGTCCTTGGTTGGACCAGAAGGGACCAGAAGGAACCAGAAGTAGAGCCGGTGAAAAGCATTCCCGAGTTAGTTATCTACACATTTATTATCTCAGAGTCCTGAGGCTCAGGAATCTAGAAGTGGCTTCACCAGAAGGTTCTGCCTCAGGACCTGCCTCTCACAAGACCTGAGGCCTTGACTAAAGCAGAAAGATCCTGCTCCAGGAAAGCTCCAGAATGTGGCTGTTGGGTGGAGGCCTCAGTGTAATAGAGGACTCCAGAGCTGGAAGATTTTGGTTCAGGTAATAGCAAATACGCTTAGTAATCAATGCCTGTAAAAGCTATTGTTCCAGGAACTGAAGGAATGACCCACCCTGACTCCACCATGAATAGTTCCACCTTTGTACCTCAGGAGGAATGCCAGCAGTCGAGATGCTATCTGAGCCATTGTCCTCCAGGGTGAGACGCCCACCACCCAAGACACAGATAAAGACCACCCCAGGGCACAGATAAAGGACCAACACCCAGGAAGCAGATGAAAAAATGCTTCAGCTTTTATCTGATTAACTTCTCCCTGAATTCCAAACCCCTATCTACACTTTTCTTCTCCTTATACAGAGGTCAGTTTCAAATGGAATTTAAGACAGCCTGTTAGGGTATGAACCGGCTCCCCAGCCATTTGAATAAAGGGCCTATAAAGATTCACTGATGTTTCTCTCCCTCTCTTTCTCCCTCCCTTCCCCTCTGTTGAAAAAGAAATAAAATCTCAAAATACACACACACACACACACACACACACACACACACAAATTCAATCCAGCCCTGGCTGGCATAGCTCAGTGGATTCAGCTCAGGCTGTGAACCAAAGGGTTGCAGGTTCGATTCCCAGTCAGGGCACATGCCTGGGTTGCAGGCCATAATCCCCAGCAACCGCACATTGATGTTTCTCTCTCTCTCTTTCTCTTCCTTCCTCCCTTCCCCTCTTTAAAGATAAATAAATAAAATCTTAAAAAAAAAATGCAATCCCTGTCTTGCTTATTGGCTCTGGTAGGTGACAGGCAGCACAAATGCTGGCTCTTCTGGTTTCAAGTCCTTCCCCACATGGGCCTCTCCACAGGGCTGCCTCAGACATAGTAGCTGGTTCCCTCCAGTGCAAGTGATGAAAGAGATGGAGAAAGGGGGAAAAGAGAGAAATGACACACTGCAGTGTCATTTACAACCTAACCTCAAAAGTGACATACCATCACTTCTGCTGAATTCTGTTGGCTGCACAGCTGGCCCAGATGCAGTGTGGAAGGGGATCACAGAAAAGTGTGACTATTGGTTGGTGGGCATCTTTGGGTGTCGTCTCGGAGGTTGTGACCACAGCTTGGGTTCTAGCTCTGTTGATGGACTGGATCAGGCACGTAAGAGAGAGAACAGAGGGAACCAAGGATAACTGTAGAATCTGGGGGGAAGTAGATGGGCAGAGGACCATCAGGGGCTGTTTGGAACACGTGACATTTGAGAGCCTATTAGATATTTAGGGGCAGATGTCAAGGAGGCAGCTCAGTAAGTCCCTGAGTGTGGAGCTTCAGAGAGAGGCACAGACTGGAAATAAGGGATGGTCTCGTGATGGGTGGCATTCAAAGCCTGAGCCTTGCTTGATCCAACCTCCCAGCCAGCAGAGGCAGACACGAGACACAAGAGCTGACCCCTGAGCTGCAGCTTTTAGACGTGGAGAGATGAGGAGGACCAGCAAGCACAACCGGGCCAGTGAGGCAGGAGCAGAATCTAGAGCGAGGTGCCCTGGAGGTCAGGAAGAAAATGTCACCTCCAGCTAAGTGCTGCTCGGGGACCAAGGAAGCAAGAGTAAGCAGGTTCAGATCCTTTGCCAGCAACAGCGACCCAGATTCTAAAGACGCGCCACCAATGAGTAGGATTTAAGCAGGACAATCACTGTGGAGAAGAAAAACTTTGTGGAGGGAGGGGATCTTGGGACTACGGCAAAGAAGGGACTGAAACACTGTTTCTTAACAACAACAACAACAACAACAACAACAAACAGTGATTAAGAGCTGATTTTGTACCGTGCTGGGTGGAGACAGCACAGATTCAAACCCTGGCCGCTGACCCCTGAGTCCCGCTCTGTGCCACCGTGCACCCCGCCTTCTGCTGCAGAGGCCTCTCGGAGGGATTCCCTAAGAACCCAGGGGGAGGAGGGGACCCACAGCAGTGGGGTTTGAGTTTCCCCTCTGCTGGGCTGCCTGCGGTAGGTGGTCTAAAAAGTGAGACTTGGAGCTTTTGAACTCGCCAGGCCAGGCCCCTGTAATTTGGTATCTCAGTGTTGCTCCTGGAGAAAGGCCAGCAGGCAGTCCTGAGAAGTGCCGCTTTCCAAACCGCAATTTGAAAAGCCTGTTTGGGTGCCCTCCTTGTGTGAACCCCTCCACCCCTCTCCCCAGGAAGGAGGGCTCAGCGGGAGCCAGGCTGCAACCCACCCTCAGATCCCCACTCCACTGCCTGTTCTTCCAGGATCAGGGAAGCCCCCAAGTGGTGATCCTGAAGCTGACATCTCCCCACCCCCACCCCTACCCCCAGCATCTTATCTCCCTGGGGCAAGCGGGAGGCAGGTGAAGATTTGGCCCTTAAGCCTCTGGACAAAGAAAGGACAATGGTCTCCAATCTGTGAGGCCCAAACCCCCATCTCCAGGAGTTTGTGCAAGTCGATCAGAAAACCACGTGGTCTGTTGGTGAGTACTCAGCACTCAGTAAAGACACAGGGTTTGTGTGCTACAGGGTTAGGTGCTACAGGGTTTAGAAAATAAAATGGATCCTAACTTGAAAATAAAAAGTGTTCTCCAGAAGCTTCTTTTATAACCACGTATCTCCGCAGAAACATGCCTATTCAATTATTAAATAAGGCAGGAAGGCCTGGCCTGGGTTTTACTCTCTGAAACATGGACAGTCTTTCCCCAACATGGTTCTTTTCAAGCCAATAACGAATTTTGCAAATACTTGCTATTAAAGAGTTAAGGAAATAACGTTTATGATGTTAGGAGTTGGAAGCCATCCATCCAGGCATTTAACTATTTAAGGAAACAACAACAACAAAAATCAAACCTTCTCTCTCTTTCTCTCTAAAAAAACAACTGTTACATGCTGTGATGTTTCTGAGAGTGTGGGTGCTCGAAGACCCACCCAGGGGGGATGAACAGACCTGACTTTTCAACCCTCACTGCCTAGTCCGGGCAGCATCAGTAGTCAGCTGTGGGGCCCCAGGAAAGGCACCGCCGTCCTGCATCTCATTTGGGGATACTAACGAGGATACTACTGTTTATTTCACGTGGACATTGTAACAATAAAACGAGAACATGCATATAAAAGTGATTTCCAGCTTTAAATTTCTATTGTGAAGGAATAATTATTAGAGTTCAGTTAAAGAAAGTTCTTTTAGAGACACATCCTGATGCACCTTAAAAGGATGAAATGATTATGACCACTGAGATTGGCTTCAAAACAATACAGTGGAAACAGTGGGGTTTTTGTACATTTTGAGTATTGTGGAAGCTGTGTTACAGGTACATGACTTTTTTTTAAACCATTTTTGGACTTTTTTTATGTTTGAAATTTTCACATTGAGAAGCAAGAAAGCACAGGGGATACTGGAGGGCAGTCTCTGTCGTTAAGTCCAAGTTCATTCAGACAACTTCTCAAGCCAACCTCGAGAGCAAAAGAAATGGTAGTGATTTTAAGTGAATGCCAAAATACATAAGAGTTGAAGGATTTGATCATTTGAGTATGTTTTTAGCACCTTTTATTTTTAACTAGAGGAAATCCATTTTAATTAAATATTATAGCAAAAAAAAAATGGGGCGGGGGAGGGTGGTGGGGACAAATGTGCTTGAACCATAAAAAATAAATTTAAAATATTATAGCAAAAATATATATTTTCATGATTTAAGATTATAAATGGAATCCACATGTTAACCTGGCATCTTAAACACATTAAGATCTGCCCCAAAATTTAAGGATATGTTAACAATTTTCTACTTCTTAATAACCTACTATTCTCCTACTGCTACTGTATTATATAAAGTACATAATGACATATCAATATTGCAAATGATGATCCTTTTATCATGAAAATCTGTTGCTAATTCAAGGGAACGTAACAGCAGTAAGTACATAACACACTCCCTTCCTTACCCTGAAGAGGTGAATTCTCTAAGAAGTCTTCATGAGATTCTTTTGTTTCTCCAGGTTCTGATGATCGATACTCACTCCTCAGAGAAACCTTCCACCATCTAAAGATGACCTGTGGTTGAAAAGAAGGGAGATATGAATTAAAAGTGACTTAAAGGCCAACCGCTGTAGTTCGGTTGGGGTTTTGCGCAATCACTGTGGCGGGCACATAGGTTATGCGCCCAGCATCGCCTGTAACTTGCAATGTGGCGTCACAGCAAATGGAAGTGAGGTCTGTGCGCCAGTGGACATTTTTCTTAGTGATTAGGGTCCCAGAATCAAAGTGTTGGAAGGAATCCTAAAAATCTATCAAGTCAGCGCTGGCCGGTGTGGCTCAGTTGATGGGAGCATCATCCTGAACAGTGAAAGTGTGCAGGTTCAATTCCTGGTCAGGGCATAGACCTAGGTTGTAGGTTCGATTCCCAGTCGGGACACAAGGCAACCAGTTGTACAAAAGGCAAGAAATCAGTTTCTCCCTCACATCGATGTTTCTCTCTCTCTCTCTCTCCCTTCCCCTCTCTAAAAAACCAATGAGTATGTCCTTGAATTAAAATATTTTTTTAAAAACTTAAAAATCTATCAAATGAATTGATGTAAAAAATCACCCAGAGGCAAATGACGTTTCTTGAAGACCTCCTAGAACATAGATTCTCTAAATTGGGGAGCCAATCCCAAGGTCACTGCTCCACTCTCTGACTCTTTTCCCATCTACAGCACAGACAAGGTGAGTGAACACTTTTCTCCTAAAGAGGGACAGTTACATGGACAGGGGCCGGAGGAAGCACCATTATGCATTGTTTGATGCACGGCAGTGTCATTGCACAGGACACTTCTTGGTGATGGAACTGCTGATAGTCTGTTTGATTTCTACAAGCATTTTGGTTTAAGCAAACTTCATTTCCATGGTGATGGACCACACTGAAGTCCCACGTTGACTTCATGGCTGCCAATGACCAGGCCTAATGAGAAGGCCCTTGAAGCTTTTCCAACTTATTTCACGTTTTCCAACCTATAATGGAACTGGGTAGTTATTTGAGATGACAAAACTCCCACCAACTTGAGCAACAAAACAAACAGTTTCTGCACGAGGACAGCCAGGGAAGATGATGCAGGAGACGGACAGTGGAGAGACATTGCTTGGCTTCATGGCTCCGAGGTCGTCCCCCACTGGCATCACCAGGTAAGGTAAGATAAGGTTCACGCAAAATGGGTAAGCAGGTGGGAGCCTGCTGCGGGGCTCCCTTTATTTACAGGTCCCTCTCTCCCATCCCGGTGTCTCTTCTCTTCGCATAAGGACACTAGTCACGTTGGGTTAGGGCTCCACCTTTATGACTACCCTTAACCTTTTTAAAAAAAAAAATTTATTTATTCATTTTTAGAAGGAGGGGGAGGGAGGGAGAAAGAGAGGGAGAAGAGAAACATCAATGTGTGGTTGCCTCTCACGCGCCCCTTACTGGGGACCTGGCCTGCAACTCAGGCATGTGCCCTGACTGGGAATCGAGCTGGCGACCCTTTGATTCATAGGCTGGTGTTCAATCCACTGAGCTACTAAATTACCTATTCAAAGGCCCTGTCTCCAAATACAGTTGCATTGGAGGTTAGGACTCCAATCTGGGAACTTGGGGGGGGATATCATTCAGTTCATAATAGAGGGGTATCAAGTATTACAGTAGAAAGAACATGAATTTTGGAGAAAGGCTTAGCCAATTTATTTAATCTCTCTGCACTTCAATTCCCTTTCTATTAAATATCATTAAAGTTAACAATAAATACTATAAATAATATGCCCTTTCTGTTGAATGACAATGCCAGACAACCTGAATTTAATGGTGTGTTCTTTATGCCACATGATCTAGAACTTTTACAACTAATTGGGAAGTCAAAGAATTTAGTCTTTCCACTACACATACAGGAGAGCAAAAAGTCTCAGAGGTGAAGTTAGAAGTGACAGGTCTCCTTCCCCACAACCTTACTACCAGAGGTTATCTCAGATTGAATTCTGCCCCAGGAAAGACATTAGTCGCCAGGCAGGCACCTCTAGAGTCCCAGAGATGTTTCTGGAAGCTCAGCGGAGCCCCCCTCACTGTCTTCTTTGGCACTCTAGGGGAACCATCCCAGGAAAATTTCTCTCTGGCCCAAGTGCACCTGAATTATAATGACGTAAGTAGCTACCCTTCTAGCCAGATCAAGCAACTAAGTCCTTGATTAAGTGGATCAGGGAACAAATGGAGTTCTGGACAGGGCTCTGCTCCAGAAACATTATGTCACCAAACTTATGTTGTTCAATAAAAGGCAGAGAGACACTTGTACAATCTTACCTGACAGCTTCGCATCTTGCACATCATTCATTTCAGCAATGAAAAATTATTTCTGACATTCCTCATAGTAATTCACTAGCCCTCTGGCACTGATTTACAAGGCAGTACTCTAAGTGCCTGCCCTACCTAGCAAGGGCCTCTGGAGGGAGGATCCTCAGGGCACGGTATGAAGCTAACTCGCCCACATAGATAAGCATCCTGCTGGCTCCTCCGAGGTATTTAAATTACGGAGAATACAGCACTTGCCTAAGGAAACAAGGCTGGCTAGAACCAGAATCCAAGCCTCCTCACTCCCAACTGGTAAACACAGTCTGTTCCCAGGCAGGAAGCTCTCTTTGCATATAACTTCCGAGGTACTACAAGCTTTACAGAGTGGCCCAGAGATCTGCTCGGAATTGCAATTGAGCCTTGTCGAGACTCGATTACGTTCCGCATGCTGTCCTTTCTGAAACAGAAAAACGTGCGAGACGGGTGTTTTCTACCACTTACTACTTCAGACTTGTGAAGGTTGTTTTGAAGGGACAATACTCAATAGTGGTGAGGAGAAGGAATACAAGGTTCCTTAATCATCATCGAAAGGAATGTGAATCAGTTTGGCAAGTGTGACCCAGACATGCCACGTGTAAGAGTCCATCCTAAGGAATTTATCAGAGAGGTGTGCACGTCTTGCGTGTAAGAATGTTTGTCGTAGGTTAATGATGATAATGAAGAGTCAGGACCAGCCTGAGGGTCCGACAGTTGGGGCTAGTTAAACAATTATAGCACATTTCGATGCTGGAATACTCTGCACCCGATAAGTAAAAAGAATAATAACGCAGGATAATATTAATAATCATTTGCTTACACTGATACTCCAAAGACAGGAAGGGAGACACTCCTGTACGTGCCGGGGGAGGGGCATGGGCATGGCAGTCAACACCACTGTCTCACAGGACGCGCAGCCTGAGGGCGGCTGAGCCCAGGTGTACCCCCCAAATATTTGTGAACAGAGCCCCATTATGGTATTAGCTTATGTTAAGTCACATTACACATACAAAGTTATCTATTTGTTGCTATTTTGAAAATCTTCAAGTCTGTAAATAAGGTTTTAAAAAAATCTCGTTCTGCTGAACTGTGGATGTTTGCTCATTAACATCCTGCAAGAAACGCTGCAGAGGAGCGTCCCGGCTTTTGCAAGACTGTTTCGATCTGGCTGGACACGAGCTTCCTGTGCTCTCCTGGGGTTCGCGGAGCTCCCAACCAGCTGCGGGCGGAGAGCGACTGTGTGTTTATGGGCGAAGAAGCCCACTGTGGTGGGTTCGATAACCGGCACCAGCTCTGCTCATCCAGGGAGCATCTGACTTTGCAAGTCAAGTTCTCTGTCATTGCCTCTTACCCTCTGTCCAGGGAGGGCGGACAATCCGCCTCCTTGTAGGACACACGCCAGTATTTGGTATCTTGATAGAAATCACGTGACCGGTGGTCGAGTTCTTCAAACATTTCATTGATACTTAGCATATTATACTTTATACATCTTTTTAATAAACTTGAACGTTGAGCTTTCTTACGAGAGAGGTCTAAGATTTCTCATTAATCCCTCTTGGCATCTCTCCTGCACAAAGTACTAGAGCAAGACTGCAAAGATTTATTGTCCACCCAGTGAGGGCCCCTGAAGGTCAGGCCCTTTCGCCACCAGGACGGCAGTGATTCACTAGGCAGCCCTCAGGGGGGCACTGGGAAAAGCAGGCCCAATTAGGCTTCTTAGCCTTCGTGCACATTGGGCAATGCACGCCCCTTCCCCTAGTCTGAGGCTGTGATCTTCCCACCTCTGGCCCTAGTGAAGAACCCTACTCCTGGGACAGGAAGTGCAGACTCTGGTGTTAGACAGGTCTGGCTTAAACCCTGGTCTGTGTCCTTTGCCTTGGGCAAATTTCATAATCTCTCTGGCCTCAATTTCCTCATATCCAAAATGCAAAGAATGATGCCCGCATCACCCATTTGGAAAGATGACGTGAGATAAACCCAAAGTGTCCAGCAAGATGCCAGATAAATGAAGTAGTTCCATAGAGGCCTTGCCTTTTTGTTCTCTTTCCCCACTTTACACACCCTTCATAGTCAAAACAACAAACTCAACCCAAAATACCAACAGATAAGAATCAAGTGTTTTTTTTCTTATTAATTGTCTAACTATATATTCAATCCTACTTCATCAAGTTCTGCTTTCTGAATCATATTCTCCAAAGACATTTATTTCAGCTTTCCACTGAGACTTGGTATTTGATTTTTCTAATCATTAGTCAACACTAAGGACTGCATACTTTTTGCTTAGAAGATGCATCCACCCACCCAGTTAACAGACAAAGTGGCTCCTACAGGATTAGGGTGACGAGCCAGATCCCACACACTGAATGGGGCATCCTGAATCTTCCTGAACATCTGACCAGGAAAGACATTTATGACTTAGCACACAACTACCTCTGCTTTCTCCTACAGAGAACTGTCATTCTATCAGATCCAATTCCTTCCTGTTTGGGAAACCACATATAATTAGGGGAGTTCACTGAGCGTGGTAGAGATACTGTATCGTGGACAGTTTATGAAATTAGGTCTTTTCTTAGGTAAGGAACGATTTTCTTATCTGAACATCGTGCTGAGACATGGAGAAGCCACAAGGGCAAATGGCAAGTAGTTTCACCTTTAGATATTACTCCAAAGATCACACAGCACCAGCATTCCCAAAGGTAGAAAGATGTTATTTTTTAAAATGAATTACGAG